AGAGAGAGAGAGAGAGAGAGAGAGAGAGAGAGAGAGAGAGAGAGAGAGAGAGAGAGGGAGAGAAGGGCGAGGTAGCTGTAGTCGGTTACATACCTGGTTCGAGTCTGAGTCTGTAGTCGGTGTCTTGTGTCTTTGGGCAATGATCGAAGGTTGATTTGTGGGGTTCGTCTGATGGACGACGTATCTGTTTTCTTGGCCTACCTGAAAGGCGATTGCAGGACCCTGGGTACTGCTAACTGGATCCACAGAAAATTTGAGAAGTGTTATCCAAGGACTCTGACTCTGAAGCGAACCGACGAAAAGGCTGGGACCTGGGATTTCCTGAGTTGCCGCATGCAGGTGTCAGATAATTTCCCATTCTTTTTGGGTAGCATACAGTTGACGAAGAATGATGAGACAGTGTGGACCACCGGGAAGGTGATTTTCGGGACCGGGCAGGACTCGGCATCATGGACCAGTCGTAAACAGAAACTGGATGGGATAACTGGCTGGCTGCATCGTATCGACCCAAAGGCTTCAGAGACGAAGTTTTTGATATCGCGCTCACGAATTTTGCTCGGACGCGCAGCCAGATGCAGCCAGACAGTTATCCCAGCCAGTTTAGGAATACGACTGTCAGAACCAGTATTCCCAAGCAGGTACTGACCCTGCGCTTGGAATACTGGGCCAAGGGCTTCAGAGAATTTTTTTGATATCGCGCTCACGAATTTTGCTCGGACGCGCGACCAGATGTGGCAGTTCACTGCCAGTCTGCTTAGTAGGCAGTAGACACGAAAGTAGGATAGTTGGACTATTAATAGTAGGTAACTCGTGTTCGTTGTCCTCTTATCATGGCATGGCATGGCATCCGGGAGTTGGCCCGGCCGGAATGTGGAGATTTCAGAGGCTGAGTTTCGGGAGGAAGAAGCGGCGGGGAGTCCGTAGAGTTATTGAGCCCTCACTGGGTCTCACGGATGGGTACTTCTCTCCGGGAGTTAGAGTTCTTGAGCCCTCACTGGGTCTTACGGATAGGTACTTTTCTCTTAATTGTGTGCCTGTTTTCAGACTTCAATCATTGTGTCTATTTGATCTATGATTGCTCTTGTGATATCTCACCTCTGTGTGAGTGGCAGACACCGCAAGAGACATGACCACTTTTCTTTGTATAATAATGATATTTTGCGTACCCATCTCTCGTGCAATTCTTCTGTCGCGGCTATTGGTTCCAAGTGTGAGCTTTCCTTTGGATGCTTGTCGCATGTGTGTGCGAGGTCTAGGGTGATTGACTTGCGAATCATTGCGAAAACAAACTTTCGAAGCTTTCATCGAACTTTCTCGTCTTGTGTAACAACAGGCTCAGTTGTTGGAGTGCTTGGTCAAAATGCTGACCGGCAGCGAGCACATGGATGAGCGGATACCACCTCTGCTCCATCCATCGAGGCGATACTCCCTGCTAACAATGCTATCGACGTAAGTTGGCCATCCTTTTTTTTTTTTTTTTTTTTTTGGGGGGGGGGGGGGGGGGGGGGGGGGGGGGGGGGGGGGGGGGGGGGGGGGGGGGGGAGACATTGCCCATCTAATCAAAAAAATTCCAAATTTCAAAACTTCGAAAAACTTTGAAAAACAGATATTATTTTATTATATATGATGTATGTAGTATGTACTATGTATCCTATGATTCCTATCCCTTAAGCAGAATTGGCCACGGGGGGGAGGTCCATGACGCGCTGCGCGCCAGATTCTGGTCGAAGTTTTGGTGAGGGACGGCAGATGAAGCGATCGAGGGCGGGGGAGTGTGCAGAGGGGTGCGCGTACCGAAATGCTCACAGTGCGCCACGAAACGAGACCGTGCACCCCGGGGGCAGGGCACACGGCTGGCGTTGATGCGGACGAACATCTTGGAGGCGAGCCATCCGATATGCGGGCGGTTTTCTTTCCCCCCCTCTTTTTTGTTTTTCTTTTCTTTTCCTTCCTTCTTTTTTCATTTCTCGTGCGGCTGTCGTTTTGTGCCCCCGGTACGCCGTCGTTGTTTCTGCGGACAAACATCTTGGAGGCGAGGCATCCGAAATGCAGTGTGAGGTCACCCACTGCAATTGTCATTTCTCCGGGCGTAGCCGTAGCCCGCACCACCCGCACCACGGGCACTTAGCTAGTGTGTGTATTATGATTTATGTGACGGTTTGTTTTACTAAATTTTATTTTCATTATTGTTTTCTTTAACCTTTTGTTCAAATTTGTTGTCATCATGCTGATTGGAATTTTGTGAACTTCTTTTTTTCTCCCTTTCCCCCCTTCTGAAACGGTTTTCACCTTGCAGAAGCAGATGCAGATCGCAGGGTTCGATCCCTAGACCTTGCCTGCACCCGTGTACAGTATCGAGTAGACCCCTGTGTGTTTTGAGCCCGCGATCTGTGTTTTAGTAGTGACTGTTCTTTGTCGTAGGTCCCTGTAGCTGTAGGGATTCGATCTGTAGATCTATCAAGTAGGGGTTACAGCTGTGTAGAGGTCGAAACTGCTAGGCTAGAGGTCTGTAGGCAAGTCATAAGTCCAACTGCGTCGAGTCGGCAGTGCAACCCCGTGCAGTCAGCGGTACCGGTCCCAGTCACACGCAGTCCAGTCAAGCAAGTACCATGTGGGACTGTGTGCACCAGGGGCCTGGTGGAAAGGGGCAGACGAGCGGCCAACAGAAGTATAAATCAATAGGCAGCGTCCAGCAATTCATTCATTCTGCTGCAAGCCATGCGGAAGCGCTGCCAGTGCGTCTTGTGCGAGGTGGTCTGCAGATGCCCCAGGTCGAAGTGGGCTGAAGGAAGATAGTCCGTCCATAGTCAGTAGTAGTAGAGCGGCCATAGCCGCTGCAGCTTAAAAGTTGAGCTCAGTGTGTGTGTGTATTCGTGTACAGTGGAGTGTGTGTGCGCGTGGGATATCCAGGGAGATCCAATGAGTGTGCGTGTGAACCAGTTGTGAGGATACAGTGACGTGGGGAATGAAGTAAAGGAGCACAGGCACCATAGTTATTTGAAACGAGTTTGTATTTGAACCGTGTTCTCGCCTGTGATATCTCTGAGCTTTGTGTGGGCGCCTGGCGCCAGAGTACTTTGCCATCTGTTTACATGCGTGCGAAGTGAGAAGAAAGTGAGTCTGATTGCACTTCTTTTATTTTGTTCTTAAATAAAGTGCTAATCTTCTGAGTGTAACGTTCCAATTTTTACGGATGTCCTGCAAGACTTGAGCAACTTTTGGCAGAAACACTTGCCTTGAGAGCTGAAATCGTATTCTTCGAGTTTTTAAAATTTTAAATAGGGCGTCGTTAGACACTCCTCGGGGACGTGAAATCCACAAGGACGCGCTCGTTCCACCTGTCCTTGGGGACGAAGTCGAAAAAGAAATGTGAAAACGCCACAAGGAAAATTCCTTGTGGCATCCTTGTGGCCCCAGCCAACATTTCCTCATCTCCAAGGGACCTCGTGAGGTCCCTTGGAGCTCAAGCAACCGTGATTCACGGAGTGGCGAAGACATGCGTCGACGGAGAGTTTTGGTTCTTGGGTGTTCCAGATGTGGTCCAGCGGCGTTAGCACGGGCATCCCCGCCCTCCAACGTCTGCGTAGTCCCCTAACATCCCCCAACGGCTACTGTTGGCGGTGGGCCTCCATCGGGTGGCATCGTCGTTTTCGACCGGCATCATGCGGTCTTGCGGGCTCAAGGAACGTATGCCTAGTCCCCCAACGCCCCAAACGGCTATTGTTGGCGGTGGGCCTCCATCGGGCGGCGTCGTCGTTTTCGGTCGGCATCAACGGTCGGAATTTTTTTTTTTTCCCCGGCGGCGCCATCAGTCCATCCACAGAAGAGGTTTCTTCACAAGCGTTGTATTCCCATGCATGTCGTCACATGCTGCACGTCCGAGAAGACTCTTGCCTTCTCCGCCGTCGTGTGCGCATTGCTTCCCTCTCCACCGTGCGGTTCATGGCCGACCTGTACCGCAGGCTCCCTCTGCTGCTCCTCATCACTGTGCTGCTTCTGGTGGTCCCTCTGCTGCTCCTCGACGCTGTGCTGCTTTTCGTTGAAGTAGTCATCCGTGGCATCGTCGCATTGTCGAAGGTCTTCCCATGTCCCCCCCGTCCTGCGTTTGATCCACCACCTCGGTGTCGCTCGTGGAATGACGCCGCAACCCAACGTGTAGCACAGCTCAATGACAGCCTCCGAAGTTGCCAAGTAGTCGGGGCCGTCATTCGCAGCTTGCATCAGCGCCCTTCTTCTATGCGCATGCAACTGCTCCTTCATTTGTCCCAACGCCCTCTCCTCCTGACAGCGAAGAATAACGGTTGACACAGCCGCCGCCACGGCTGCCCGCTCAAGCGGTGTCAACAGCGGACGTCCGCCCTCTTTGCCGCCCTCCATCACCACCACCCCACAGGGATGACGTCTCTCCGCTGCCGTCTCAATCCTCGCACCCGGGAGACGTAACCCGCTCACCCCCGGAGGAGAGGTCCTAGAAGCTGCCGCCTTTCCGTGGATGTCGTGCCCCTGGTGGAACAGCGTGTGACGGCGTGGACGATGTGGAGGAGAAGCTCGACGGTAGAGAGAAGATTAACCGACCCCCCAATCTTCACCCTCATTTGTGTCCCAGTGCACGCACGTACACTGACCGGGAGGTGGGCAGAAGGGATGCCGCCACTAAGGCCGACTCAGCCCTGTAACATCTGCGCGCTGCAAGCCGAACGTCGTCGCCGTCACCACAGCTGTACTTCATATGTTCATATGAAAATGGCCGCGGGCAGGCCACAAGGAAACGTCCTCGGGGGACGTCCCCAAGGAGATGTGGAACGAAGCCGTTAAATTCCCTTACGAGCCACAAGGAAAATTCCTTGTGGCTCAAGGAACTCGTAAGGAGTGTCTAACGACGCCCATAGTATTCCATCAATGGGCCTAGCTCAGTTGGTGCACACAAGTTCGAACTTCGAATCCAGCTGCGATCGGATGAACAGAGTACAATCGGATGAACAGAGTACTCCATCACTTGCCAATAGTATTCCATCACTTGCCTTGAGAGCTGAAATACAGACCCAAGTTCGAATCCAGCTGCGATCGGATGAACAGAGTACAATAATTCTGAATTACCTGGGGCTGGTCAGTTCCGTGATGATATCTCAAGGCCGTCTCCCTTTAAATAAAATGAATATATATCGTCAAACAGAGCTGCCGACGGTAAACCGTAGGCAGAGAGGGACAAGAGGGAGAAGAGGACAACAATCGAGGGGCTGTGACAAACTGTTTCATCGGAGTTTCACCGACTCAAAATTCAGTCTAGATACAGTGATAATTACGGTGCGTCCTATTCGCATGAAGACAGTAGCCTTTGGTGTGACAAAGCGGCGAAGACTAACTAAAGTCGGTGGAGACTGCTGTCTTCTCCCGAATAGAACGCATGGCCATAATTATAGCTGTACTTGGGACAAATTTCAGTCTAGAATCTAGATACAGTGTATTCGCGTGAAGACAGTATGGAGACATCGGGCATCTCGTTCTGCTTATTAGAATCCCTGATTATCAGCGTAGGGAAAGCCAATTCCAAACAAAGACACTTGTCGCAACCATGCCCTGCTCTGTACGGAAGACTATTGCAACCATGCCCTGCTCTGTACAGAAGACAATGCAATGTATGTATTGATTGTATACACACTTGCATGCACGACGATGAACACGGACCATACCTGTGTACATATGCATGTCTGCGGAAATTGACTCCTTTTTTTTTTTCGTTTTTGGAATTGACGATTCTGGATGCAGGCTGTTAGAAGACTTTCCCCCACCGCTGCATTTATCTGGCGTTCTCCGACAAATTGCCAAACGTTCTGTCAAACGAATTCTTGATGCCCAGGTACAACCCTTTTCAATATATCTTCAGCGAGAGAGACACACACACACACACACACACACACACACACACACACACACACACACACACACACACACACACACAGAGAGAGAGAGAGAGAGAGAGAGAGAGAGAGAGAGAGAGAGAGAGAGAGAGAGAGAGAGAGAGAGAGAGAGAGAGAGAAATGGACAATATTTTAGAACAGAAGCTATAAAAGAAATGACATAGACCGTCTCTTTTTCTGTGAACCGAAATTGCGGAGGAGAGCATGTTGGCCCACCACTAACTACTTGAAGAGAAATGGGAGTGAAACGTGCACATTCTTCCTTTCATAGCCAGGGCAGGTAGTGGTCCCCACACCCAGGGTGACCTCATCACACCATACGTCTCCAAGCCCATGACCCCTTTCTAAAAGACCTCTTCTGTCTTCACCTAAACCCTGATCAACAGGCACTATTTTGCACCTACTTCTTCTTTCTTTCTTTTTTTTTTTTTTTGCAACATCTAGGGGGATTCTGTGCTACTAGCCGAGCCGCCTGGGTTACCTTGCTGGGCAGCCCGGCCATGCGAGGACCAGTGAAGGGGCCAGCCAAAAAAAAAAAAAAAAAAAAAAAAAAAAAAAAACACAATCCAAAAAATCTGGAAAACCAAAAACTATGTGATGCACAAAAATAAACCGAACAACTTTTGCCTCAGGGTCACATCGAAATTCTTTACCAAATTTGAAATCAAAAATTGAAAAAATATTTTCATTTCTTTTTTAAGTTTTTTTCTTTTTTTTTTCCCCTTTGCCCCGCCGCGCCACTTCGGTAGCCTAGGTCTACATTCATCTAATTTCGTCATCACTCGTTTGCAGCAGTTTTCAAGCCTGCTATGTTTGTGTCTTGATTTTTCAGTCATTCCCGAGCCAAAAGTGTGGTCTTGTCTGACGTCTTGTCCCCCTAAGGCCTAAACTGTGAGCCCCTAAGCCCTAAACCCTAAACCCTAAACTGCTAAATGCTAACACCCCAACCCCTAACCCCTGACCACCAACCCCTTTAGCCAAATAGAGCACCCACTCATTATTATTATTGTAGCTGTAATTGGTGCAATTTTCCGTCTAGATACGTCTATAATGGCCTTTTAGGTGTTCTATACGGTTGAAGATGGTAAACAAATGCGACAAAAATGTGGTGAGAAAAGTTAGAAGTTACTAAATGTGGCCTAGCTCAGACTGTACAGTGTACACCCATGAACTGCTAAATAGTAAATACAGACCGGAGTTCAAACTCCAGTGGAAGCAAATGAGTAAAAAGTACGAAAAACACTGCAATTCTGAATTACCTAGGGCCCATCCGCTCAAGTGATGATATCTCAAGGCCGTTGCATTTTTTGCATACTTGCAAGCGGACGCTGTCCGCGCGGTTCCGCATGTGCAGCGGACCGCCGGACCGGACCCGCGCGGCGCACGAATGTGCGCCCGACGACCAGTTACCCCCCNGTGTTCACTGGTTTGGTGCAGATGTCTGTACAATCTGGTCAAACTCCGGAACTCAAATTTTCTTCCTTTTTTCTCTAGGACCTCCCTGCAGGTTCTGTGGCCTCGCCCTGGTGCTGTTCGGATGAAGTCCCCCTTTTTTACATATTATTGCATGCGAATGTTCGGATGATTTTCCCTCTTGTGCATTTGCTGCATGCGAATGTGGCATGGCAGTGGTGCTTAGGTTTTCTTCTTCTGTTAGGCACTGGATGGATGGTTTTTCCTTTTTGTACGTAGTCCAGTGAGCCAAAGTGATACAGCAGTGGGAGTTAGGCTCTTATCATCTGAGTATTCGCATTGCGCATTGTCGAATGACATTTCCTTAGTTCTCGAAGTGAGTGTGGGGCAGCCCAGTTGTTGGGCTTGACCGGTGATGTCTCGCTCTCTAACTGGACTGGGTGATTTTTGTGAGGGACGCCAGGCCCGCTTCCTGGCTTTGCTCTTTTGTTCGAAAAAAAAAAAAAAAAAAAAAAAAAGAGCAACAAAAACGTAAGGGAAGGGGGAAGAACGGAGCCGAGCAGAGGTAAATCCTTTCATCAAGGGAAGTAAATAAATCAATGCCGCTGTCTCAAGGTTTCTCGGCCATAACCAAGGAAAATCATTGAGTGGGTCTATGGTAAGGGGGACGCTGAACCCAGTTTTCAGCAATAACGGAACTTTTTAGCAGTGTTTTTTTTTTTTCTTTTTTTTTTTTGAAAAAAAAAAAAATCTCCTTTTTCTTTTTATGTCTTTGTAAAGCGACAAAAACTGGCCATTTTTTTTTGTGGAAAAAAACAAAAACAAAATGGCCAGAAGTTACTACATGTGCCCTAGCGCAATTGGTAAAAACTTGCTAAAAACTTTTTTTAGTAAAAAGTCATCAACCCTTGAAAGTTGAAATACAGAGTATTACAGAGTCTAGTACAGACCAATCGAATTTATCTAACCAGATGAGTTAAAATAACTCTGAATTTACCTGGGGCCAGTCAATTCAAAGATGATATTTCAAGGCCGTCAGCATTAAAAAAAAAAAAAAGTAGTGACAAAATTGTGCTGCGAACTTTGTGAGCAGTTACTAAGTGTGACGGAAATGTGCCTCGGGCTACTACTGGTCCTTTGTTGCCATGATTACGCAGGTGACGATCCTGTTTCAGCTTCTTTCCGTTTGTGAACAGGTGCGGTGGCTTCTTTTTTTGTTCTTTTTTTTCTTTTTTTTTCCTTTTTTAATTTTTTTTCGTTTTTTCTCTTCTTTTTCTTTTTTTCGTTTTTTTTTTCTTTTTTTTTCTTTTTTTCTTTCTTTTTTTTATGTGCGGCCGCTTCTAACATCCGTTGATTTTCACTTGTCAAACAAACTACACGCAACCCAGCCCATGCGGCTGAATGGTACACAGTACTACACACATATCTATTATGAAACCAGACATCAGTTCGAACCGTGACAGAATCAGATGTATGCATATTACATTGTATAAAATAATGTTAGGTGCTCAACAAAAGAAAGGACTACATGCATAGAAAAATGTTAATGCTGCATCAGGCAACTATGCATATTATTATTATTATATTATTATCTGGCTTCCCCCTGCTGTTTCAATATGCCACATTTCAAAGTGGATAACCGTTAAAGTCTGGTTAACATCTAGTTAAATCATAGTTAAAGTCAAGTTAAAATCATAGTTAAAGTGTAGTTAAAGTCTAAAATTAAAATCTACTTAAAGTCTTAGTTAAAATGTAGTTGGAAGTCCAGTTAACGTCTAGTTAAAGTCTATGGCTATGGAAAGTGGATAACCAGACTTGCATATTATTTCTTGCTTACGCCTTCTGATTTAATATGCCACATTGCAAAGTGGATAACTGTTAAAGTCGGAAATTAAAATCTAGTTAAAAATTAAAATCTAGTTAAAGTCAAGTTAAATTTTAGTTAAAGTCTAGTGAATGTCAAGGTAAAGTTTTAATTAAAGTCTGGTTAAAGTATAGGTAATGTCTAATTAAAATTTAAAAGTCTATGCAAAGTGGATAACACTAGAGTAGTTTAAGTCTTGATAAAGTCTAGTTAAACTCTGTGCAAAGTGGATAGGTAGACCTTAACTAGACTTTAACAGTCTCGGTGAATGTCGGCGTCAGTCAGATTTTGACGACAAACAAAGGCATTCTTCTAGACAACGTCCGCACGATTCGGCAGAGAGGCAGTCTTCCTTCTTCTTTGAGGGAGAGCGCAGACTCTCGACTCTCGAGGCTCGGGTGGATATACAGATGTATTAGGTCTTCTTTTCTTGCAGTTTCGGAACCCTTCACGTATTATATTGCTATGACACGATCAAGAGTTGCCCTCCCAGGTAACATGACTCCTGGGAGGGTTGAGTGTCAGCTTGCCTTTCCCCCGCCCCCCCCTTATATACGTCCGCGCAAACTCTACCAATATCCGCACAAGAGTTGCACACTTCTTTTGGGTCCCTTATAGGGGTCCGGTGGTCTACATATTGTGTCCCCGTATCAAGGAACCAAATGCAGAGCATATGGAGTGCTTGTTGTTTTCGTTTGCCCATCTTTTCCTCCGTAAAATCACTTACTCCTGTCTTCACCCCGAATAGAACGCCCGGTCATTATAGCGGCTGCATTTGGGGTGACTTTCTGTCCAGATGCGGCGATAATGACCGGGGGGGGGGCGTTCTATTCGGTTGATGACGGTAAGTCTTTGTCACCTCTCCTGTTGGTTAAGGACTGCAAATGTTTTTTTGTCGCTTTGCAAAATTGTCAATTTATTAATTTAAACAATTTTGACATTTATTTTTTGTGTTTTCATAACTTTTCAAGTTTTCAGTTTGTTTGGCAGCTGGCTTTGAGATTGCGTAAATGAAACGGGAATGTTTGACAGTAAAATAGACAAGCAAGATACAGTGAACTTGGCTGCATTGGGACCTTTCTTCTGCGCAGGAACTGAAGCATCCAAGTCCATAAAACTGATGGATGTCGGCCATTGAAAACAGGCATCGCTTGTGAGCCCACAATTCTCAAGGGATACCTTGCTGTACTACTTGCTGCGAATACCACACTTCCTAGAGAAAAAGCTTGCAGTCTTCTTAAAACGTTTGGTGAGTTCAGCATCCCTCTGCCCATCTCTCTCTCTCTCTCTCTCTCTCTCTCTCTCTCTCTCTCTCTCTCTCTCTCTCTCTCTCTCTCTCT